CATACTGCACACAACACCCCATGTGAGTATTACAGATTGTATTAGCTAAGTAGATTTATTCTTCTTATCTGGCCTAGAAAGTGCCTGGGGCAGCAGCTGGAAGGTGAGGGAAGTGAAAAGAAGAAAAAAGACAAATCATAGCCCTTGGGTCAAGCCCTTGAGATAGAGGAAGAGAAAGCATGGAACTGGATGTGAAATTAAAGTTCTTATTTAAATTAAAATGGAGATTTTTAATACTTGAAAATGAGACTGCCCTAATACCTAAAAGTGCTATATATAGCACTTTTATATATATATATATATATATATATATATATATAGTTAAGGCTAAGGTCAGATGAAGCATAATGGAGAGCAATGGAGGGAAAAGAATAAAACTATTGTCTGTTTAAATTCTACAGAGTTCAGTCTGTATAGTAAACTACATAACTGATTTAGTGCAGAGAATGCTAAGGCTAGGAAAGATTTTCATCTGATTATCTACTTGATACTCATATTTATCTGGTTGAGCATTAATTTTTAAATGTAGACAAATTATTTTGCTTTGTGTGGGCTGAAATATGTGTGTATTTTCCATTTCAGAGTCAAAAAAGAATGGCAGGTCAGAATGCAATGTGTTAAACAACTAGAAAGCTATATGAATGTGGAACATAATTTTTAAGCAAGTTCTTTCATTGAACACATTTTTTTTTCTGCTCCTTCTGTCTTTTCTATGCTATAAGAAGCAAAGAAAATGGCCACATGTTGGGACAATATCACAATTCTCTTATAGACTGATATCTGGGTAGATAACAAAAATAGCATGGTAAAGTTAAACAGAAGTGGAGACAGATTTAGAGGACAGGCATGCTCTGTACTGTGCACCACCTTCTGAAAGGCTTCCTTGACTCCCAAGCGTCAGGTGAACTGAGTGGCCAGACTTGCTGGTACATAGTCTGCAGCAGAGACTTCTCAACAGAGGGCATCTTGGAGGAGCCAGATGCAGGCCAAGAGACTGGGTGACTCTTACTATATCAACAAAAAGACATTCCATTGAACAAAGAAATAACTCCTTAAATTCATGATGATGATGATGATGATGATAAATGGTTAATATAAAGCATTTACCATGTGCCAGGCACTATGTTAAGCTCTTTGAATACATTATATTATTTAATAGAGTGAGCTAATAGAGTAGTAGGTTGTGATTCTGTCTCCATTTTATAAAGTGAGAAAATCAAGCCTTGAGCAATATATATATCTTAACTATGTTCACTGGCAGTAAACAATGGGAAACATGGATCCAGATCTGCCTAATTCCAAAACTTAAACTCCTAATTACAGGTAGAAAATAGAATCATCTTTTCTCTCTTTTTTTCGCTCCAATCTCTCTCTATTTCATCATAATTTGAAATAAAGAACTGCACATATTGAGATTTATACCAAGGGCTTTGCTAATAATAGACATTTTTATATTGTAGAGAAGACCAAACCTTTCTAAATAATAGGTTGCATAGTTAACTCTATCTTATCTCCTTTCAAAAATTGTTATTATATATATACATATAAACTTATATATATATAAACTTTTACATATAAACTTATATAAATAAATATATATATAACTTATAGGATGTTTGGGTGGCTTAGTTAGTTAAACGTCTGACTCTTGATTTTGGCTCAGGTCATTATTTCAGGGTCATGAGCTCTGAGTTGGGCTCCATGCTCTGCATGGGAGTCTGCTTGGGATTCTTTCTCTTTCTGCCCTTCCTCCTGCTTGCATGCACATGCACCCACAAGCATGATGTCTCTCTCTTTCTTTCAAATAAAATAAATAAATAAAATCTTTAAAAAATAAATACAAAACTTATGGAATGTAAAATTTCAATTAAATGATAGAATTGCTGTTGTATTCATTTTTACACATTTTTCCATTTCTATTATAGTGTATATTTCAAATTCATTTCCTGAGATGTGATTTTTTTTAGTTGAATGTCCTCATTTTATTTTATTTATTTTTTATTTAATTTTATTTTTAAAAGATTTTATTTATTCATGAGAAACATAGAGAGAGAGGCAGAGACACAGGCAGAGGGAGATGCAGGCTCCCTATAAGGAGCCTTATTTGGGATTCGATCTTGGGACTCTGGGATCACACCCTGAGCTGAAGGCAGGGTTCAACTGCTGAGCCAACTAGGAGTCCCGAGTGTCCTCATTTTAAATAATGGAGAAAGCATTGCTACTACACAACCCAAAATCATATACTGGTTTGATGATGGCAACACATTTCCAAAATTAAACAGAAGGTTACATTTATCTATCATCTATCTATGTCTATCATCTAATTAAAGCTTGTAAGAGAATTGTACTATAAATAAGTAAATATGGATGTATGCTAAAGTAAAACATATATGTATATTATTATTTTGATATTCTACTAATAAGAAATAAGACTGAACCAATATTTCTTATATTTACCGACTGCTAGGGGTATTTTGAGGACTGTAAAATTAAAAATGTACCTTTGAGTAAATTTCAAAATATATCCTAGAGGAAATTGCAAAGAAAAATTAACCTTGTCTGGTGTGTGGGAAAGAAAGAATTCCAAAGTAAAAATGCTTTACTAAACCTGCCTTGGAATTTAGAATATTCTGGTATATAGGAGAATTTTAAAAGAACATAAAATTTTCAACTCAGTACCTTGAATGTGACACCTTTTCTCTTAGTATCTCTGTTGATTTTCAGAGATTACTTGGTCAATTAGAATAGCATCATCTTTAAAATACAGGACATGTACTTAAAGAGGCAGAGTTTGCAATTTGAGAGGACATATCTGGATATGTGTCCCTTTTAATCTGTGCTGCCTGATAAAACAGCCACAAATGTCAACACTTGCTTCAATGCTATTAGTAGCTCTAGCCCTGTATGGTACCAAAACACAAGAAACATAAAGTAGGCACTACAAGCCTCCTCATTAACTTTTAAAGGAGAGTATTTCGTGCATTTTTCATGCTATTTCTTTTCTCTTCCATGAGATTTCAATGGACTAAAGTATGCCATGTATATAGAACTCATAATAAAATGGAGAGGCAGGAACTATATGATTGAGGTAACTGCTGGAAGAGATGAGATGAGGGGGAAGAGTCTTTCAGAATGTATCATCTGAATGCAACTTAGCATGAAAAGTAACAGTGCTTTTGCTATAATCTTTTTCAGTAGTGCAAGGGGATTCATACTTTAAAAAGTCTAAAAGGATTATTCATCCCAAACGGATTATTTATTTTCAAAATGAATATTTATAGAGAGCCTCTGTATTAGGCAGTAATCTTTGCCTTTGTTTAAACACAATTAGTAATATGCAAAATAAAGCAGTTCTTTTTAGAAAATATGTGAGCATAAGTACTAATACTGGCAGTCATGTCAATATATGCAAAGTGAGTACATGAAATGAGGAATAACTCACCTGTTATACTCTTAATTAGTGAATACCTGTACACAATGAAAGCATGACTGATTTATGAATGCATGAAAATCTAACCAGGTAATTAATGTTCAGTTTAAAATTCACACTATTGAAAAAGTAGCAGAAAAAACAACTTGTACTAGACAAATCACAAAAGCAGAAAAGTTGGATTTTCTGTGAATGAATCTTTTCCAACATATTTAGGCTACTTTATCTTTTTATTTTCTTGCTTGCTTAATTTTTATATAGAAATAATTTGAACATTTTTTGTACAGTTATTCCTACTTAGTGCAATTAATTAACCATTTTTTTTCTCTCTCTCTCTCTCTTTTTTAAAGGGTCAGACCTGGTGTTTTAGAGAAAGGATTCTTTTGTAATTTATTTTAATTATTATAAGCTTTGTTCAATTTACAAAAAGTCACAAATCACATTTTTTGGTCCAACGGACAGTTAGTCTTCTATGTATATGTAATTCTTACCTAGGTACGAGTGTGGATAGGAGCATATGAAGGAAATAAAAGAAATATTCCCTTTTAATCTTTCTACAAAAACATACACAGTACCAGTGCCAGACACCGTTCTAGGTGCTGATGATAGAACACTAAAAAATTAGACACAAATCCTTATTCTCAGTGCACTTATACTCTAAGATTATTGAGATTCAGATGTTATCATTGAGTGTAAAAATGTTAAAATTTGTTTTTTCCCTCCCTGTATTTGCAATCTACTCCATTTCCTCTGTTCTCAGATTGTTTTCATCAATAGTATTGACATTTATGTTTGACTAAGCTAGTGACCTACTACACACTTTTTAATATACAATTTTACAGACATGAGAGATGAATCTCAATACAACTTTGTTCAAAATAGTCAAAATTTTACTAAAATTTTAAATTTATTTTTCTCTTTCCAGATGCCAGGCAAGATATTTTAAAATTTGTTTTTAAATAAAGCTGCTAATTCCCCTATGTGACTACTAGAAATATTTTCAAGACACTTCCTTCCAAAAGACCAGAAGGATGCTGTGTTTTCCAAGACAGGAAGCATATGAATATTTATTGTACTCATAGATATCAAGCACTAGGAAAGTTAAGATGATGTTTGCCTTTGCAGAGTATAATTTATGCTAGGTCCGTTGGTGAAGGGCAACATAAAGGGTAGTAAGGAAGTACACAATTAGCAATTACAGCTAATTTGTAACACTGGAGAGAAAGAGGGTGGGTCTATCTATGATGAATTTTATGGGGTTACTATATCGAATGAGTATATAATTAGAAAAAGAAACTAACTGGTTCAATTTCATGGTAACCTGAAGATGAATGCTAGGGTTGGGAGGAAATTGAAGCATCTAGATGCTTTTGTGGAAACAAGAGGAAAAAGATCTGAAAACAAAATGGAAGAATTTTTTAAAGGTAATAATTTCATGATGTCTTAGGTAAATGAATCAGGAAAAATTATACTAAATAAAGCAAGCAACCATGGCTAATTCAACTTGTTTTCAAAGTAGTTAGAGGCCTGCCAAATTGAATCAGAATTCAGACTCTCCAAAATTTCTTACCTGCTTCATTTGTGCGGATCATTCGAGATGGGGTGCTTGGATCTCCAGTCCCAATTGGATTGGTGGCCACCACTCTAAATTCATATTCCACCCAGGGGTTAAGGTCCACTGCCATGGCTGACTCTAGGTCCCCTGTTATAATTTCTGGGACTACAGAGAGGAAAGAGATTTTGTGGCATTAGGAAGACCCAGAAATAGTTATAAATGGCAATCCAGGATATCATGGGTACTACCAGAATCAGCAGACTGATGCATAATTCCTTATTACACCATGGTCATGGTGTCACCTCTGGTCTCATTAGTAAAGTGAAAACTAATCTTCAGGGAGTAAGCACTTGCACACATCAAAGATTGTTTTAGCTAATTAGAAATCTTTTGTCTCATCTTTATACATACATTGCTATAACATAACTTGCCATTATGTATACTAAAAATCATTTTGTCGATCCCTCAGCCTCAAATAAGAGGGCAACTAGTGCTATTTGAGCAAATAGTTCTGAATTTTCTTGAGCAGTTTGCCTCTTGCAGTTCTGGCAAACATGCTTAGCCACTTGGCAGTTCAAAGCAGCAGATTAAGAATATACCTCTTTAATTAAAAACCTCCAGTTTGTGGGATCGAAGCAAAAGCTCTTCTTGGAGTAACTTTTGTACTATATTTTGATTTTATTAAAGCATAAAGTTGTCAATACAATTGTCACAGAGTGAAATGCTTTTTTACATAGTATACATGCTCTATTTGGGACTGATTTTCCTGTTCATTCATCTCTGCTGTCTAGGAAATATTTCTGCAAGAACATTTGTTACAGGGGTGCTAATAGAGAAAAGGGAGAACTTCCCAAATGCAAATTAAGCAAATTTTAACATTGCTTACATCAAAATATGATCTCATCACTTCTTTTTGCAGCAAAACTTCTTAAAAGAGTTACCTATATTTTCCTTCTCTCCTTTTTTCCTTTTTTTTAAATTGAATTAATATACTGTGATATGTTAGTTTCAGTTGTACAAATAATGATTCAAAATTTTATTCATTACTCAGTGCTCATCAGGATAAGTGTACTCTTGATTTCCTTGATCTTTTTACCCTTCGCCCTACTTACTTCCCTTCTAGCAACCACCAGAATGTTCTTGGTATTTAAGAGTCTGTTTTTTGTTTTTTTTGTTGTTGTTGTTGTTGTTGTTTGTCTCTTTTTTTATGTTTGTTTTGTTTCTTAAATTCCACATATAAGTGAAATCATGGTATTTGTCTTTTTGTGACTAATATACTTCACTTAGCATTATAATCTCTAGGTCCATCCATGTTGTCGCAAATAACAATTTCTCATTCTTTCTTGTGGCTTTTGTATATATGTAGCATATCTTCTTTTCTCCACTCTTCTATCAATGGACACTTGCATTCCTTCCCTATCTTCACTATTATAAATAAAGCTGCAATGAATATAGGGGTAAATCTATCTTTTCAAAATATGTTTTCTTTTACTTTGGGTAGATAGCAAGTAGTGGAATTACTCATTCATATGGTAATTCTATTTTTAATTTTTTTGAGGAACCTTCATACTGTTTTCCACAATGACTGCATCAATTTGCATTCCTACCAACAATGTATGAAGCTTCCTCTTCCTCTACATCATTGCCAGCACTTGTTATTGCTTTGTCTTCTTGATACTAACCATTCTGACAAGTATATATTTCATTGTGGTTTTTTTTTAAATTTTTTAAAAATTTATTTATTTATGATAGTCACAGAGAGAGAGAGAGGCAGAGACACAGGCAGAGGGAGAAGCAGGCTCCATGCACCGGGAGCCCGATATGGGACTCGATCCCGGGTCTCCAGGATCGCGCCCTGGGCCAAAGGCAGGCGCCAAACCGCTGTGCCACCCAGGGATCCCTTCATCGTGGTTCTGATTGGTATTTCCCTGATGATTAGTGATATTGAGAATCTTTTTATATGTCTGTTGACCCTTTGGATGTCTTCTTTGGAAAAATGTCTATTCAAGTCTTCTGTCAATTTTTTTATTTTTATTTTTTTAATAATAAATTTATTTTTTATTGGTGTTGAATTTGCCAACAAACAGAATAACACCCAGGGCTCATCCCGCCAAGTGCCCCCTTCAGTGCCCGTCACCCAGTCACCCCCCCCCCCGCCCTCCTCGCCTTCCACCCCCCTAGTTCGTTTCCCAGAGTTAGGAATCTTCCATGTTCTGTCCCCCTTTCTGCTATTTCCTACCCATTTCTTCTCCCTTCCCCTCTATTCCCTTTCACTATTATTTATATTTATATATAAGATATATAAGATATATATTATTTATATTCTCCAAATGAATGAGACCATATAATGTTTGTCCTTCTCCGATTGACTTATTTCACTCAGCATAATACCCTCCAGTTCCAACCACGTCAAAGCAAATGGTGGGTATTTGTCATTTCTAATCGCTGAGTAACATTCCATTGTATACATAGACCACATCTTCTTAATCCACTCATCTTTCAATGGACACTGAGGCCCCTTCCACAGTTTGGCTATTGTGGACATTACTGCTAGAAACATCGGGGTCCAGGTGTCCTGGCGTTTCATTGCATCTGTATCTTTGGGATATATCCCTAGCAGGGCAATTGCTGGGTCATAGGGCAGGTCTACTTTTAACTCTTTGAGGAACCTCAACAATTTTCCAGATTGGCTGCACCAGTTCACATTCCCACCAACAGTGTAAGAAGGTTCCCTTTTCTCCGCATCCTCTCCAACATTTGTTGTTTCCTGCCTTGTTAATTTTCCCCATTCTCACTGGTGTGAGGTGGGATCTCATTGTGGTTTTGATTTGTATTTCCCTGATGGCAAGTGATGCAGAGCATTTTCTCATGTGCATGTTGGCCATGTCTATGTCTTCCTCTGTGAGATTTCTGTTCATGTCTTTTGCCCATTTCATGATTGGATTGTTCGTTTCTTTGCTGTTGAGTTTAAGAAGTTCTTTATAGATCTTGGATACTAGCCCTTTATCTGATACGACATTTGCAAATATCTCCTCCCATTCTGTAGGTTGTCTTTGAGTTTTGTTGACTGTATCCTTTGCTGTGCAAAAGCTTCTTATCTTGAAGAAGTCCCAATAGTGCATTTTTGCTTTTGTTTCTTTTGCTTTCGTGGATGTATCTTGCAAGAAGTTACTGTGGCCGAATTCAAAAAGGGTGTTGCCTGTGTTCTCCTCTAGGATTTTGATGGAATCTTGTCTCACATTTAGATCTTTCATCCATTTTGAGTTTATCTTTGTGTATGGTGAAAGAGAGTGGTCTAGTTTCATTCTTCTGCACGTGAATGTCCAATTTTCCCAGCACCATTTATTGAAGAGACTGTCTTTCTTCCAGTGGATCGTCTTTCCTCCTTTATCGAATATTAGTTGACCATAAAGTTCAGGGTCCACTTCTGGGTTCTCTATTCTGTTCCATTGATCTATGTGTCTGTTTTTGTGCCAGTACCACACTGTCTTGATGACCACAGCTTTGTAGTACAACCTGAAATCTGGCATTGTGATGCCCCCAGATATGGTTTTATTTTTTAAAATTCCCCTGGTTATTCGGGGTCTTTTCTGATTCCACACAAACTTTAAAATAATTTGTTCTAACTCTCTGAAGAAAGTCCATGGTATTTTGATAGGGATTGCATTAAACGTGTAAATTGCCCTGGGTAACATTGACATTTTCACAATATTAATTCTGCCAATCCATGAGCATGGAATATTTTTCCATCTCTTTGTGTCTTCCTCAATTTCTTTCAGAAGTGTTCTATAGTGTTTAGGGTATAGATCCTTTACCTCTCTGGTTAGGTTTATTCCTAGGTATCTTATGCTTTTGGGTGCAATTGTCAATGGGATTGACTCCTTAATTTATCTTTCTTCAGTCTCATTGTTAGTGTAGAGAAATGCCACTGACTTCTGGGGTTGATTTTGTATCCTGCCACACTGCCAAATTGCTGTATGAGTTCTAGCAATCTTGGGGTGGAGTCTTTTGGGTTTTCTATGTAGAGTATCATGTCATTGGCGAAAAGGGAGAGTTTGACTTCTTCTTTGCCAATTTGAATGCCTTTAATGTCTTTTTGTTGTCTGACTGCTGAGGCTAGGACTTCCAGTACTATGTTGAATAGCAGTGGTGAGAGTGGACATTCCTGTCTTGTTCCTGATCTTAGAGGAAAGGCTCCCAGTGCTTCCTCATTGAGAATGGTATTTGCTGTGGGCTTTTCGTAGATGGCTTTTAAGATGCAGAGGAATGTTCCCTCTATCCCTACACTCTGAAGAGTTTTGATCAGGAATGGATGCTGTATTTTGTCAAATGCTTTCTCTGCATCTATTGAGAGGATCCTATGGTTCTTGTTTTTTCTCTTGCTGATATGATGAATCACATTGATTGTTTTACGAGTGTTGAACCAGCCTTGTGTCCCGGGGATAAATCCTACTTGGTCATGGTGAATAATTTTCTTAATGTGTTGTTGGATCCTATTGGCTAGTATCTTGTTGAGAATTTTTGCATCCATGTTCATCAGGGATATTGGTCTGTATTTCTCCTTTTTGGTGCGGTCTTTGTCTGGTCTTGGAATTAAGCTGATGCTGGCCTCATACAATGAATTTGGAAGTACTCCATCTCTTTCTATCTTTCCGAACAGCTTTAGTAGAATAGGTATGGTTTCTTCTTTAAACGTTTACAGAATTCCCCTGGGAAGCCATCTGGCCCTGGACTTTTGTGTCTTGGGAGGTTTTTGATGACTTCTTCAATTTCCTCCCTGGTTATTGGCCTGTTCAGGTTTTCTACTTCTTTCTGTTCCAGTTTTGATAGTTTGTGGTTTTCCAGAAATGTGTCCATTTCTTCCAGATTGCCTAATTTATCAGCATATAGCTGCTCATAATATGTTTTTAAAATCGTTTGTATTTCCTTGGTGTTGATGGTGATCTCTCCTTTCTCATTCATGATTTTATTAATTTGAGTCTTCTCTCTCTTCTTTTTAATAAGGCTGGCTAATGGTTTATCTATCTTATTAATTCTTTCAGAGAACCAACTCCTGGGTTTGTTGATGTGTTCCACAGTTCTTCTGGTCATGATTTCGTTGAGTTCCGCTTGAATCTTTATTAACTCTCTTCTTCTGCTGGGTGTAGGATCTATTTGCTGTTTTT